ACATCTCGAAGCATCAGCAAAATCTGCTGCTGTTCCCTCCAAATCTGTCCATGCTACCAGCCCCACTCAAAAGGGGACACCATGACTTCCCCGAGGTTAGGATCAGGCCATGCCACCCAGCTTTCTGCTTCTCTCAGAGTTAACTAGTTCCTTTAAGACCTTCACACACACTTTTCCCTCTGCGTAGAGCAGGCTCCCATTCTCACCCCTTCCCTGACAGCTTCAAGTGACTGATTCCTTCAAATTCCACTTTAATACATTTAATGCTATTGACACAATAATTGTGCAAGGCTCAGATCAGAAGAACAAGCATATCTATCATCTCTTTGTAATGGGAACATTCAAAATTCTCTCTACTTGCTATTTTGAAATATACAGTTACCTGCTGTCATCCAGTGACTCTACCATCCACAGAATGTTACATTATTCCTCATTTCCAAATGTACCCAATAACCATTCACCGTCCTCTCTTAAATACCATTTCCTCATGGAGCCAGCCATCCAACTCCATAATCTCTGTCACAGACAGCTCTGCCGGGTCTCACACTCATGTGCTTTATACTCCTTCATGGCATGGGACACGGTGCTCCACCCAGCTAAGGGCTGCCATGGTTTGCTGGCCCAAACTTCTGGCACAGAGCTTCCTAGCACATGCCAGGCCCCAGTTAATGTCCACCAGGGCAGAGGGAACATACAACCCAAAATAATCCATTTGACGGGTCAGATAACCCATCACAACACTGCATGTGTTTAACAGCAAAGAGGATGTTCTCAAGATAGTTTCATAATTAATTATGAGTAGGCTCTCCATACTCTTTAGAAACAAAAACGAAAGGTTCTCTGTGCCCTGAGCTTATTTGAAAGTGCTCTGTGCAGACAGCAGCGATCCTGTCTGAAATCCTACTCATCGTGCTATATTTCATAAGTGTCCTGCTTCCTCTCAGCATTTAAGCAAGAACAACAACAAATAATTTACACCACCACCGTCTAGCAGGCTTTCTTCCTCGGGATCCAGTCTGCTTTCTCATCCCACACTTCGATGCTCATTACACAATAAAACACACAAGACTGAGAAACACTAGAAATCCACCCCAAGGTAAAATTCCACCTCGACTTCAAAAGGAAACCCCCAAGATAAAACTGTAAAAACTTTTGAAGCCTTTTGCTGGTTTGTAAGATATATGCTATACCAAAATACCATCATTTTGGGTCCAGAATCTTTTTTTGCCCAGTACAAAGGAAGTTAAATGAAAGTGTTTGTATAGCAAAGACACCGGGGGGTGGTAGGCAGGAACAGCTCCTAATCTACAGCTTCCCAGCCACTGGAGGCAGCTCGGCCAGGGCATGAAGGAACACCAGCACTCAGCACAACCCAGCGGCTGGACCCTCATTTCGTGAGGGTGAGAGAAGAGCACAGAATTAAAAACACAGTTTCCAAAATGCCATAGGAAAGAGAAAGCTGAATATAGGAACTAGAAAAACAGGACTGAAGAAAAAGGAGGCCCTGGGAACGCGTGTCTAGTGTCTTTGGAACTTTAAGAAGTCAACAGCTTGGGGTAGGGGAGGGACAAGGGGAAGAGGGAAGGAGGAGAAGAGGGGAACACTGATTCCTGGCGCAAATGCTCATTTTCTGGCCAATGAAGACATCATTTCTGGGTAGGTTTTCTCTCTCCTCTGAACACAGATTAGCAGTCACCAGAACATGAGTCACAAGAACATAACAGAATGTTGTATCAGCTATAGGAACTAAAATGTATGGGGTTTGTTTCTCAATTTAAATACTACCGGATGAGGTTGATCACAAAGCTCAGAGGGAAGCGTACTTGCCTAGTATAAGCAAGGCCCTGGGTCCTATCCCCGCAACACTAATTACATAAATAAATAAATAAGCTTGACATTTATGGTATGTATCAAATTTTTAGAATGTGGTAAGCCACATACCACACAAAAAATCCAATCAGATTAACATATCCTGACAAAATACTTTAAATTCCCATGTGAAGATTCTGCCCCAAACAGCTACTGGAGAAAGTTATTTTCTTAGCAACTGGTAGTAGCTGTAGCCTCTAATAATTACTAACAAACCCTGAATACTTACTTCTCTATTTTCAAAGCGAAACACTAGAAATAATTATGAAATAGCTTCGCCCAAGAGTTACAATAAATCCAAATTTCAGAGAAATTAGGAAGCAATCCGCTGATTATTTTGAAACATGTCTGGTGAGACACTATGATATGGCGATGTTTTACTTAACAGAATGAAAAACAAAGTATGAAGAATAGCCCCAAGTGTCTGGAGCAAACAGATACTTTGGTCTAGGCCATTCATGACCAAACCTGAACATGAACCAGAGCCCTGCACAATGGAAAATGGTACAAAGACCCAAATGATGTACGAGCCGCACTTCAGAAAGCTCCCTTTACAAATACAGACACTCTGTACTCACCAAAGGATGGCTGCTTTTGGTTGTCAAGCTGCCCTATGTCCAGCGAAAAGGTTACTATAAATCTGTGATCCCCGGGTACATGAAACCTCAATCCCCAAAACTACAGGTGACCAGATGGATAAGGAGGCCAGCAACCCCTAGCTTTTCTTCTATCTAACCTCCCCTCCCCTAGCTTCCCCTCCGCAGAATCCCCTCTACTTCTCCCCCCTGGTGTCAGGTGAAGACTGCAGAAATACACAACGATAGAGCTGACTGGCTTCTATTACCAAAGTCACCACTCACTGACACAACAAGCGTCAAGCATTTCCCAAATGTATGGCTTCTCTCTTCTCTCAGCTCCTCCCTTCCTCCTCCACCAGCCAGATCACACCCTCCTTCCCTCACTCTCCTCCTCCAGCCCTAACCCTGAGGCACCGGCTAATCCCCTGGTCCCCAAGAGCACAGGAGGAGGCAGACAAGATCATGTGAGAGCTGCAGGCTGCAGCTTCTTTGGCCAAAGGTCCCCACCTCAAAGGTGATGTGTGTGCTCCAAAGTGGTTGCTATGGTAAATGTGCCTTCTACTAAACATCAGAGGGAAAAGGAATCTAAGTCCCCACTCTGTTCCCCTTGCCAAAGTCCACACTGGCTCTGGAAAGAATGTTTTACCATCTCCTCCAGCTCATTTCTTTCCACATGAGAAAGTAAGGCTCTTATGACTTCAGTTGTGGCAACTCCTCATATGGGGTTTGGGGGAAACAAGAGAGAGGCAATCATCCCCTCTCTCCAGATGGACAAGTCCCTGCTCCTGACCGTGGACCCCACGCTCCAACCGTGAGGGGCTCTGAACCATTCCTAAGATTTGCATCTCCTCCGCACACTCAAAGGATTTGGAAAAGGCCTCCCAGAGATTTTAAAGATAACATCCTTTTTTCTGTAGCTAAAAAATGTGGGAAAGTTCCATCAAGCATTTCCAAAAGCAGAGAAATAAATTTCAAAGCCTGGGCCCACACTGGGAAATCCACAAAGGCAAGAAAGTGAACCAGATAGGCTTCCTCATTTCACCCTGTAGGACTCTAAATTGTCACATTTGCTTTTAAATCCCTGCATGGTTAAGACGTTTTTAATCTTCTAGGAGAAACCTACATCAAGACCTAAGCCAGCAACATCACACTTCTGTCACTGACCCTGGTGATGATCCAACTTATAGTAAGCAAAGCAGAGCCAGCCACACAAAGTCACTTTCACCTCTGGCAGGGGACAATATGCCACAGGTCCTGGATCCAGTCATTGCTCTGGCTACTAACTTGGCGTGTGACATTGGGCAATTCACTTAAGGCATCTCTGGGCCTCAGTTTCCTTTTCTGAGATCAGGTTGGGCCTAAAATAATCTAAGGTCACCTCCAACCCTGAAATCTTGACATTACAAGCGCATACACAATTATGAGCATCCATGTAATTGTAGAGGCAGAGGAGCAAGGAAGCTTCTGGCAAGTGCCAGCCTTCTGTCCACATTGGACATTGTCTATCCCACGCGAAGTGAAGACATTTTCACAAATTGTGACTCAAAATGTGGTTTTACAGAAATAAATTATTTTGTGCTATGCACACATACAACACAGGCATGACTCATTAAATAATATATACTCAATTACGGTAAACTACAAATAAAGAGCCTGAAATGTGACACAATGCATCTTAAGATTTTCCTACTTTAGGAAATTATTTTGTAATCTTTTTAAATTACAAGTAATATAGAGCCTAATATTTTGTGATACTGAATAAAAAATACACGAATTGTTTCATGCTTTGCATAATTCTACCTGTCACAGATTCATTATAAAAATATGTCTTTCATTAATTATTTCATAAGTATGAAGTCCAGCTCATGATACAAATATAAAGAAGGGAAAAAATATTCTAATAAGGCTGAGCTATCTTCTCAAGAGGTTAATTTATAAACTTTCAGAGCCTACAAAATTCTAAGAAAGCACATTAAAAATATATGTAGACACACTCTCTTATGTTGTAGCCTTTTAGTACTAAAAACAAATGCCTTCATGTAACACCACATGCGTTCAAATCTACAGATATACACAGTAAATTTAATTTTAGCCTCCGTACATTTCCACTCTAGGCTTATAATCAACCAGCCCAGATGAAATTTTCTAATGCTAATACAGAATGTTACTTTACAAAAACTATAAAGATAAATGGAGGAGAACGGGGTGCACTTTCCTAATCTTGTCCCCTAATTGCATTTTGTCTTAAACTGCTTTGACACCGATTTCCCCCAAACTGAAGTAATTGTGCCTTCTTAGCTGGAGCCCACAAGGCTAGATTCTAACCCAATACGTGGAAAAAAGGGTGGAGGGAAGACTCGGAAACTTTCCAGGTAAGTTTCAATCACTAAGATTCAAGCATATACAGTGAGTAACTCAGAGATCTAAACCATACTCAAGAATATTTAAAAGTAAATAAAGAATCACTGACACATAAAGCCCGTTATCGTCCACAAAGCATTTTCTTGTTTGTGCCCAGGTAACAGGGGCCACTGACTTCGGGCGGTTACTTACAACAATGTGCGCTGGCGAGGGCGAGCGGGCATCCTTGAGGGCTTGTCTGCTCTGGAGACTCCCTGCCTGGACGTCAAGCAGCGGCCATTTCATCTGGAGATACTGGAAAACCAGAGACAAGGAGCTTAGCAAAGAATGGTGAAGCAGCACCCCAAGAAAAGAACTCACGAGGGTAAAACACTGAAAAACTTGAACGCATGCAAATAACAACAGAAAGAAAATCGTGCAACACCATTAAGTGGTTCCTTAAAGCTCAAAGTTCAAATACAGTGTATTAATATTACTAACAACTGTAGTTTTGTCTTTGCAGTCAAGCTATGGGGTTGGCTTTCGATAAAAGTTTCATTAACACTGCATTAGACAGAGGGGAATAAGAGGACGGAGGAGGGGGAAGGAAGGAGAAAACACAGAGCTGACCCCAAGGAAAAAAGCAAACAAATCTCAAGCCAGCAATGTCCTAGGAGATCATCAATTCCAAATCTGCTCAGTGGCCTTCATCTTTCAGCTGTCATCACCCTCCACTGTAATGCTGCAGTGCAACTGTTCTGTAGATAACAGCTGCTCAGGTAAGGCAAGCACGGAATTCTCAACCAATCCCAACACTATAAGATGCAAATATCCCTCAGCAACAGAGGCAAACCCAGGGCATAACACAATTTATACACTCGTTTCATTTTGAAACACCAGAGAAGTTCTTAAATATTACCAGAGACAATAATAAAACTATATACCAATTATGCCTGGCCCTGCCTCTTTCTAAAGTGGAAAACGAATACATGCCATCAGCGAGCTACTTCTGTCAAAAGTGATCCATCAGTTGCCACAGGGATCTGAACTTGTTTTACAGACAGAGAAATTAAGGTGAGGTGGCCTCAGCAATGGTTAGTATAAGAAATTCCCAGGCATTTGGCTTTTGTTGGTAGCAACAGTTTCCCTCAAGAAAACTCCAGACAGCTGAACCAGACTCAGACACAACACTTGTAAGGACACGAATACTACAGCCTTTATTCCAAAGACCAACTGATTTACGCATCAGTCAATGCTTACAGAGTATATAAGGAAGCACCCTGATCATTCCAAAGACCCAAAGCAAATATTCATTCTACAGAAATGTTAGTCAATGAGCATCAGTGAAAGCTTGTTTTGTGTCTACCCTTCTCGCTAAGCATTGTGAAGATACACAACATCTCTGCCCTCAGGAGGCCTAAGCATGTGTGAGGCAATCAAGTGATACCCAAGGAAGTCAAGAGAGTATGAGGGAGCTGCGCCCAGATGACGCCAAGAAAGACGATGAAATTCCCAAAAGAGACCAGGGGAGGCTGCACAGAGTAACCTCGACAAATCAGAAAGAAGAGTCTGCACAAACCCTATGAGAAACCGAAGAGACAAAGCCATCCACAAGCCAATCCCTGAGTCCTTGAAGAACAACCAGCAAACTCAACCAAGCTTGATTGGTTGAAGATGCTCACCCAAGCGCACAGTCAGCTTTTCCAACAGGATCTACACAGTGTAGGTGCTTCTTCTATGACTTCAGAGCTCTCAGTGAGAAGCCGCCTGCGGTGGAAAATTCTGGTCACTAGTCCTGAGTCTGTGAGTAACTCAACACAATTCTTCACACCAAATCCTTTTCTTTCTACACCTCTCTAGCTTTCATCTATGAAGTGAAGGGACTATCCCATCTGTAATGGGGCCTCGGTGCCGATCTGCCCCGAACAGTGCAGGACTTTCAGGATTCCAGAGTCCAGGAACCTTGCTGTCATCCTTATAATCATGCCATTTCCAAATAGCAGTATCACCCCAAGCTGAGAACCACTGAACTAAATGTCTCCAAAGTAAGTCATCTTCAGCCTTGTAAAGAAGCCAGAGGGCTCTGGGAATCTGTCCTGCCCTGTCTCACCCCAACTTCTTCCCATTCTCAATTGCCACATAAATATACAGGCTGTATTGGTCAAAACCACTCAATAGAGTCATTTCCTTGAGGCCAACCAAGATGGCCACCCGCCAACATTCACCCCTCCAACTCACAGCAACCCAGGAACAAAAGTGCCGAGAGGAACAGACATCCTACACCTCCTGCTACTCTCCGTAGGAGGGTCAGACGGATGGACAAATTTTCATCTTTAGCCATCTGCAAAACTGATCTGATTGTATCCTAATACCAGCTCTATAGAATTAGGAAATTTAGGGTTGGTTTACGGTGACAGACCTGCCCTGAGGACCCCACCCAAGAACTGTCATACCCATAACACAATCTTAGCATGGAGACTTCTACCTCTTGCTTTACATAAAAGCTTCATTGTACAGCACATCCAATCTCCATAGGCTACTTGCACCACATATTTTTATGGCCTACATTTCAGCGCTCAGAGCCTACAATACACATAATTTTCAATTATGTTAGGGCAGCCCAGGATCACTGCCTATATAACATTACTGGTTGGAGGAAATGAGACTCGGCCCTGCTGCCCAGAGAGAGCTAACCGAATCCAGATGGTGCAGGAAGACAGCCCCACTCCCGCTGATTTGCAGGGACTCCACAATGACAGACTCAAACTCTCTTTCCCAGTGCAACTTGATGCCACGGAACAGCTGGGCACCCACAAATCCATGCCCAGTCCTTGAATCTTAATTGGCATTCAGGCTGCCAAAGTTCCTTTTGAGGAAGTAAGTAGTATGTCAGGATTCCATAAAGGAAGTTATTAACCTCCTCCAAAAGTGATGCGTTTCCCAGGTTCCTTCGCTTTCTACAATTGGTCCCTATTAATAGGGAAAATAAATAAAGGAAAGAAAAAGGAAATTAGGTACTATTACAGCCCAGAGGAAAATCTTTTCCTTCCTGGAGACATTAAGCAGCAGGAAATTTTATTCTGTAGGGTCCGAAAGGAAGACCTGACAAAGGAGGTATCTCACATTTACCAAAAGGTTGGAACACTCTGCCACATTTTCCTAACAGTTCGACTTCAGTTTTATGTGCTTTTGGGAAAGGAGGGGGAAAAGTTCCCACCATCTCACTGTAAAAACAACACTGGGCTCCAGTTCTTTTCCTCTTAGGCTGCTCAACGTGGAAATTATGAATTGCCTACAGAAACATTAAGCTTTTCAACAAACGGCAATCAAATGGGGCTGTGGGAATTCCTACATTGAAAACTGTTGAAATGGAGTCCACTCGGCTTTCATTTAGTAAAAAATAATAATAATAAGGCCATCCTGGCTTAAGCATTTCATCCTTTGCTTAATAATAACGTTCTGATCATGGCCCATTAGAGGTTTCCTCCAAATCATATTTTATGATATGTCGTGGGGAGCTTAAGTTAAGCTGTGGACCTGTGGGCAAAATCTTGATACATACAATATCATGGGGCTGAAAGGAATCAAAGCAGCTGAAAAGCTGTGGAACTGTCAACAACATGAAGCAAGCGAGCATCTTTAATTTCTCCTCCGCTTCTACCTGCCCCCAATAAGAGGGGAAGGCAAAGGGAGGTGAGAGGTGAGGAAAATCTTCCTAATCTGAAAGCTCCTTCCCGAAACAGCTTTAGCAGCACCCACCTGGGCAGTCCAGACAGAACCTACTCCCACAAGGTCCCTAACTGCCTTTGAACCAGTCATCAGCAGAACTTGCCACCGTATGGCCACTGCTGAGGGCTTTGTGTAAATTTCTACACAAGCAGGACTCAAAGGACAATGACGATTTGTAATGAGATGATGATGGCAAAACTGCCAGGAAGCTTCATGCCCTTGCTTTAACCCCCATGAGGTTACCCAGCTCTTCCCGGACAGGCAAGGGGAGACTGTCCCCCTTTAATTGTTCGGGGCAGGGCTGGCAAACTTTCTCAGATACTAGCTACCTAACCAGCCTCTGGCCACTCTGTCACAACTACTCAACATGGCAGTTTAACCCAAAACCAGCCCTGGGCAAGGCATGTGTGTGTTGTGTTACAGCTACGTGCCAATAAAACTTTATTTAAGGACACTGAAATCCAAATTTCATGTAATTTTCCCGGGTCAGGAAATAATATTCTTCTCTTGATTTCTTCAACCACTTAAAAGTAGTAAAAGTCATTCTTTGCTCACAGACTATACAAAAACAGGTGGGAAGCAGTGTGGGCCTGTGGGCCAGAGCTGGCCATCTCTGGCCCAGGAACAAGTGTGCAAAGGCCTATAGAGTCAGGTCAGAGACTATGCTGTCCCTCGCTGGACCTTTGGCCCAGGGCGGCCAAACACAATTATGTAGGAAAGTGTGTTCAGTGACCTGAAAGCAACATTTTGGACTGAATCGTCACTGGCAGACCCAAATTTGGGGGGAAGAACCTGGAAAAGAATCTGAGCCCTTTGGCTGAGATTCCCAGTCACAAGGTCTAACCACTAGACCACAATCTCCCTGAAATAACTACCCCTCCTTTCCAAAACAAAATGAGTTTTAGAAATCTCTGAGCAACTCTGACTGGAAAAGGTTCACGTGTTCAAAAATCTCTCACCCATTTCCCAGCGGACATGGGGGGGATTGGTGACATATCGTATGACGTCATACCACCCCAAAAGAGGTGGGCAGAGCTGGCACCACTTGGGCTTCCTCAGCAAAACTTTCTCAGGTCACAAGGCAAGCAATTCCAGAGTTTTGAGATCAAATAAGCTTAGAAGCCCCTCTCTCCAAAACTTTCAAAACACAGTACCTTCCCATGCGACAAAACTTGGGCTGAAGCCCACGTAGTGCCAGCTCTGCCCACCACCGGCCATGGGCTCCCATGTGGCAGAAGGCAGAGTTCATCAGGCAGGAAGCGGGCAGCGTGGGGCCACCTGGCTGTTCAGTGGAGGTGAGACTGGTCTCGTTCCGAAAACCAGGTGCCACACAGTCAATCAGCTAGCAGCAGCAAGCTCGTGTTTTTACTAAAGCACAGTCTTCTCTACCCAAAGGAGATTTATCATAGGAAAATTCACTTCATAAGAAATCAAATTAATTGGACGCATGCTCACAAGGGATTTCGATTGCTAAGTCTTCCTAATTCACTAGGGCCAGAAAGATGTGCATGTTTTGTTTCTAATAAAACGCAGAGTCAATTCTCTGCCTGCGTATCCACAACCAAGTACAGGACCAGCCATGGCCC